TTTTTTATATTTTTTAATTTTATTTATTATTTTTTAATTTTTTAAATTTTATTTATTATCTTTCACATTTATTTTAATTTCATTAAATTGTTATTGTTAATGAAAATATGTATTATCTTTAATGGAATCTTCTTATTATTTAAGAAAATACATAATCCTCTAAGTATATTTATTTTGATTTTTTAGTTCTTAAATTTATATAAACCATAAAAATAGTTTATAATGTTATCTTACTAAATGTATTTTTCAAAAAACTGTTTTACAAAGCGAACTATTTGCAGTTTATCCTGTAAAATTATTTAAATGTTATTAATTTTATTTTTATATTATTTTTTTAAAAGCATTTAAATAAAATTTCAGGACATATTACATATAATTTGTCCTGTAAAACAAACTAGTTGCTTAGGTTTATAACAAATTTTAACTAATTTATTTCTATAAAATATTTCGAGTTATCATATTTTATAAGAATTATAATGTCATTTTTTTAAAATTTAAAGGACTACTCTTTCTGCTAAATCTAACAAAATTTTGTACTGGTATACTATTTTATAAACTACCAACAGAAAACCAAAAGACAAGTAGTATAGGAGGAGTTCTAGAAAGGTATATGATTAAAATTAATATGATAATATGCATAGGGATATATTTTAAATATTAAATCTATTTATAAATAAGTATTATTTTAGAGACTATATTGAAGTTTTAGAATTAATACTCAAAAAAATTAATTTTTTTAAAATATATTAAGTTAACATGAAAATGGACTTATAAGATAGTTTTAAAAGAGATTTTTCTATGTATACGAAAACTGATATTAAAAGTTAAAACATCCCAATCATCCAAATAAAGAAAAAAAAAAAAAAAGAGAGAGGAGGATTTAGTAATTATCAACATAATCACGTGAGTGCATCAAAATCAAGTAGTTGCAGAGTCTCATTTTAGCTAATAGCATGATTGAAGGCAGGTCTTTTCTATAAATTATGATGTAATAAGATGGTCGAGCAAACAAGGACGCAACTAATTAATAATCGATCGTGAAATAGTGACTGGATATTTGGAACGAAACTTTCTTTGAAAATCGTTTGGATTAATTTTTCTCCCTTTTGTTTTGTGTAGGCAGCCAAATACACAAATTAATTTTTCTAACTTTATTTTGTGCTATGTTTATAAATAGAGTGGTTGTCTATTATGATTCAGACTTTTATCTATATGTAAATAACTATGTTAAGAGTAGAGTACCTTTGTACTCTAATAGAATAAAAACTTTTCATTTTATCAAAACAAATATAAATTAAAAACGACATTTGGAGCTCACAGCTCAATAATTACAAATCGACTAATAAGATATATTGCTCAATTCAAAAGCTGGGACTTAAATCCTCTCACCCCTAAAATTGTAAATCTATTAAAAAAAAAACGAATTAGGAACGAAATTCGCCTAATGTGCATGGCAATATATAAGAAGAAATATAATACTCTTTCTAACCCCTGAATTTGACATTATTTCAAGTAAGTCCTCTTTCCTTTTCAGGGACAAGAGAGATAGAATAATGCATTTAGGCATAGATGATATTATTCATTTGGTGCCACCATATGATCAAATATTGGCTTGTGGTGTGGTAGCAACACTCTCCTTGTTTCTTGCATCTCTGTCTTAACTTAATGAGTTTTCTCCATCTGTAAAATCAAGAATTATTTCAGAGGTCATCTAATCAAAAGGGAGAAAAAAAGAAGTGGGGGTGTTTGGTCAAGGAAAAGCACTTTTGTTGGGAGTTGGACTGTGTTGTAGGGAAGACATACCGTGGGAGTGTCTCTTGTTATTTTCAGACCAAAAAAATTAATGACATAATCTATATATATATAGATATGAAGTTTTTGTTTCATATCATCATATGCAAGGCATCCCGACCGTGAGTAAACTACTTAACTACCAATCTTCAAATTTGTTGATTGTTCAAATTTTATTTCTCCATTTTTTCTTTCAAATTATCAATCTTTTATATCAAAAAATGGAAAGAAAGAAAGAAAGATGTTTTGATTGACTGAGGTCACATGATTGGTCATGGGGCAAGAGGAAACTTATGGTGGCACAAATGATCACTTGGCTCTAGAATCAACGAAAATTACTGTATATTGCAGACAAGTATCTAGTGCACTTGGATACGCATGCAACTTGTAGTTACTTCCCACATGACAATCTTGACTTAAGTAGAAGCAGCAGCCCCGTGACTAAAGGTTCCAACTTCCGAGATATTTGCAAAATATTTTTTAAAAAATAATAAATATTGAAATAAAAAATATTTTATAATTTAAATCTTATCAAATTATAAAATATTAATTATTAAATAATAACAATTAATTTTTTATTTAATAATTAGTGTGATATAATTTAAATAAAAAAATTTTAAAAGATCAACCGGGTTAGAGGCCCAATGGTTGGTCCCCAAGCCTTAGGACTTGGGTGAGGCGAAGGTCAGGGTTTCGAGTTCTGCCGTCGCCATGAACTCCATCAACTTGTAATCTAATGGTTGCGCGCCTCAAATGAGGGGTGGAACTTTCACTATTCTAGAAAAATTTCAGCTGCTAACAAACTAACTCTACTAACTTCCTAACCATCTACCTGATCAAAAAAAAAAATAAAAAAATTTTTAAAAAAATATAAATTAATATTACTGTAAAGATTCATCATTTGCCAAAATGGCATCGAGGCACACCGTATTCCAACAAATAATAATATTAAAAATAGTTTTAAACAATGCATTTGTCATTCTTTTCGTTGGATTAGAGGAGCAGACTTTGACTAGTCAACGACTTAGATACCGATAATTTCTTGAAAACAGGCAATGGAGATATAGATAATTGATTTTTGGTTTGGGACTTCAAATCTTTGGATTGTATAGATCAAGTTTTGGCTGACATACTCCTTGCAAAAATGAAAAATCCAAGAGAGAGAGAGTAAAGCTTAAGTCATTGTTTTCATTTTTGGCTGGGTGCCTAGAAAGAAAGCAGATATGAATTCTTTAAGGCTCTTTCCATTTTTTGGGGGGTAAATATGAATTCTTTAAGGCTGGGATCTTGAACTGTAAGAATTATATCTTGTTGCGTAGCTTAGGTAGTTAGTCTCTATTTCTCGAAATGATTGTAGTTTGTTTTATTTTAAATTATTTTTTATTTTTTTAAATAAATAAATATTTGTATATTGATTATATTATATATTTATTTTAATTTATTATTTTTATTATAAAATAAATTTATTTTTTTAAAAAATAATACAGATAAACACAAAAAAAACAACTATTTTTTTTTTTTATTTATATATTGAGACATCTAACTCTGAGTTTGAACAATATCCAAATGAAAATAAAAATCTTTATTAACGAGGAAAAAGCAAAAAACAAAAGTTATTTATCTTGATGATTAGTAAATTTTCTATCAAGGCATTTGAATAAGGAAAAGCTCAATTATTTTTGGTGAAAATGTCAAAAATATCTTACATGTCACATCCTACCCAAATATCTTTCTCATATATAAAATCCTGCCCAAACATCTTTTGGTCTCGGCCTTGCCGACTTCATGAAGGGGGAACCCCCGCGGGGGGGGGACCAAGATCATGCCCAGCTCACTGCCTCATATCAAGGAGAAATGAAGTGAGCCCAGATAAAAGGACCCACAATGCAAAACTAGGTCCAGTAGAGTCCCATCTCTTATTCTTTGGGCTCACAGTAATGTCCATCAAAGTCAAACAGCTGCATGCTACGTTGTCTGTCACTGGGCTAAGATGCACTTTACTTTTCACATTCTGTTTATTTGCTTGAACTCAAAGGTAAGGTCATGCGTCGGGCATATAACATTAGTTCAGTATTTCAAATTATTTCTTCACTCAGTGCGTCACATAACCAGAGATTACCCTTTTCCCATCCTTTTTCCACCCGTCTCTAGTTCCGAAAATAATAATAATAAATCACCTACAATCTTAAGGTTATTTGACATGTTTCAAACTGTGTTGAACGTTTGAGAAACCATTTCACATTCACTTTACCATAATACAACAGGAATAAGAGGTAGAATACAAGAAAACAAATTAACTGGATATGGATATCATATACAGTCAGTAGTTACAAAAGTTAACGCAATGTCCCATGCATAACTTCACAATGTCAAACTCAGCAAATACTTTACTTGAGATCAGAAACCTCCAAAATGTGATTCTAAACATCCAGTAATGATGATAAGAGAGCTCCAACTGTTGATGTTTATAATTTTATTAACTGGCCTTCTAAAACTTTTGCAGTTATTACTCACGAGCTGTGTTGGCTTTGACTTAGTGGCCGTTTTTCGCTTTTGATGAGAAGAATCTGCTGAATCCTCGCTGGTTTTTCTCTGGTGTTGGGGTGGAAGAGGTAGATGATGAGCTTGACTTGGTAGGCCTGTGTTTTGGAAGCTTTGAGTTCACCGGTGATATCCCAAGGTTGCCTTCGGTATCAGGTGGGCTGCATGGTGAGGTGTCCAGAGTCACTGGTGAGTCTCCACCTGTTCTTGGGATGCTAGCAGCAGTGTCCATCTCCACCAGATCCGAGTCTTGGAAGTTGCTGCTTGTAGTCTGTTCATCTTCAGCTTGTCCTTCATCCCTTTGACTCCTTTCATTGTATGGAGATCCCATGGTTTCTGTTTGCGGATGCAGGGATTTCAATTGCTTGCCGAGAAGAAATATGGTTTCTTGACACTCAGCCAGCTTCTCTGCTGCAGCCGCTAATTCTCTCTCCTGAGATTACAGAAACACGGTTTTCAAGTCCGGTGTTTTTATTTCAATCAAGCCTATAATTTAACTGTAACTGAGGAAGCCAAATAAGAACGTCACAGGTTCAAGCACAATTAAAACGTATCATGGTCATAAAGAAAAGGACTCTACAGATATGAAAGTCTCCTGAATAAACAGTGTGGGCAACGATCACAGATGTAACCAATGTAAAGTTAACGTGAAACTTGTTGGCTCATTATAAAATAAATCTGCACGTTCTAGAGCAATCTAAAAACTGATTGGAAAATTAAATTTTAAGAAACAAGTGGAAATGCAACCTAACCTGCTTGCTCTTCAAGTCACCATCAGCTGCAGAACAGACGGAACAGCTTCCATTCCTGAATGAGATGAGAAGCGATTTAAGTTAAAAATTTTTGTAAATGTAAGGAGTAATGACACATGCAGGCTCAGTACATGCGACATGGAAAATCACAACTTCATGTTGTAAAATAAAAATTCAATGCTAACCTTTGGAGTTGCTCCTCAAGTTCCTTACATCTAGCTAAAGCATCATGATGACCTTGCTTTTCATCTTGAAGCTCCTTTTCTAGATTTTCTATCTTTACTCGGAGAAGGCTCACCTCACTTCCTAACTCAGCTGCACGAGTTTCAAGTGACTTATAAGACTCTGCCATGCACTTGAGCTGTGTATCAGCCAAACTGTTTGTCCTCTGAGCTGAAGCCAACTGCGATTTAGTTTCTGCTAGAAGCTGTTCAGTTTCATGTAATTGTGACTTAGTCATCTCCAGATTTTCAGTACATCGAGCAAGATCGACTGCGATGCCATCTCTCTCTGATTTCAATTCTTCAAACTCCTCCAAGGATATTTTGCAGGAAGCAGGCTTTGCTTCATAGACTGGGACTAAATTCCCATCATCAGGAACCTCAGGATTAGAAATGTGGATGCAACCATTTTGATATCTTTCTCCTGACAAATCCCGTTGGACCACCTTATTCTCAGGCAAAGCAACCTTATCTATGCAATCAGGACTGCTAATTTCTACTTCGTTACCTTTATAGCCCAACACATTGAATTTTAGTTCACTAGCATTAGCTAGAACACAAGAAAGATCAAAAATAAAATCAGCCAAAACTCCTTCCTTGCATAAGACCTTATTAAAGGTGACAGAGAACTCCTCAATTTTTTGGCTTAAATCATTGCCACTGGAACAGATGTCATCAACTATCCTTGCTTCTTTTCCCAGGGACAAAACAAAATCATAAATCTGAGAAATGGCAGCTACCAATTCTTGACTTATAATCTGCACAGTTTCTGGATCCACCTTGCCATCTTGTGACAAAGAAATTTCTTTCTCTGCAGTTAAGCCACTGTCTTTGGGATAAGCCTGCCCATTGCATGTCAGATTAGAACACTGTAGTTCATCAGAGACACAATTTACAGAGTGTTGATTCAGATTATCCTGTGCATCCTGCAGCACTCGTTTAATATCCTCCAAAGTACTCTGCAAGTTGGCATCCTTGGACATCGATTCAAGCACCATGGAGATCTTTGCTCGAAGCTTCATAACAGGAGGCTCACATGCATCAGATTCAGGATTCACTACTGCCAAATCCATGTTAGAAGATAAATGATCCACCGAAGAATGCATGAAGTTCTGCTTGTCAGACTGGAGATCTTTGGTTGAAGCAATCTCTCCTGATGCATCACTCCTAGTCCTAGCAATATCAGATGTCTTATTATCAGCACTCTCTGAAATGGCGGTTACACCATTTGTATTTGAATCATTTGACAAACAAGCCAGCTTCTCCATCTCCAGAAAGTCATCCATAAGGTGCAGGTGCTTTGCATTTCCAGTTTTGTTCACTTTCACAATGTTCTTTTCCTTCTTGATTTGGGAGAGTTCAGATATTAATGCAGTTGTCCATGATTCCGCACAGCTTGCATCATCATCATTTCCATCTTCAGAAACAGAAGTGATGCTAGGTGGATTGCTAGCATTTTGTATTGAGAAGCCTTCGGTAGGAATCTGAGCAATGCCTTTCAGGGAACTCTTCTGATGATTGATGATCTGTAGTTGTGCTTCTAAACTTTGAAGCTTACTAACAGTCTTAGCACACAGATTTCTAGAAGCTTGAAGTTCACCATTACGCTTTGCCAGAGCTTCTTTCAACATCTTTGTCTCTTCTTCCATTGCTAATAAACGTTCTGTGAGGAACTCATTCTCTTTCTGGAATTTCTGTCCATGGTCAACAGAAAAGTCAGTCACTTGGGGCACATGTGGACTAGAAGGCTTAACTGGAGACTTTCTTAATCGAGTATCTCCATAATCCCGTCCTAAACTCTCAACTTCTAGCTTCATTTGGGCAAGTGCAGCAGGACCTGGCAACTTCTTCCGTACAAGGCCTCTCAATCTTTGGCATTCAGCTTCCAACTTTGCTATTTTTTTAACGCCCTCCACATGCTGCTTGTTGGCTACTTCTGCAGATCTCACACTCATGTTTTTCTCTTCATTACGAATTTCTAGCTCTTTCAAAGCCACATGCAGTTCATACTTAAGTGAATTGATTTCTCTTTCACATGATTCAATATTACTCTTCAGAAGCTCAATCTCAGCCTCTGCTTGTGATTTTTCTTCACTTATCTTGATGAGCATGTTAGAGCGCTCTTGCATTGACCTTGAAAGTGCAGCATTTTCAGCTTCAGCCCTAAGGAGTTCTTGGTCTAAGCCAGCTATCCTGGCTTCAAGCTCAAGCTTAATCTTTTCGCATTGCTTGTTTTTGGTAAGGACAACATCTTGCAACTTCTGTTCATGATCTTCCTTGAGATTCCGTATCTGCCGCATGCATTCTTTAAGAGCACCATCTAAATGTGATGCTTTATCTTCAGCAGTGAGCTTCAAAAGTGTAACAGATTCAAGATGATTTTTTAATGCCGACGCTTCTGCTTCAGCCTTCTCCCAACCTGCAGTAAAACTGCTCTCAGTTTGGAAAGAAATTTCAAGGCAAGATAAATCAGAGAACATTCAGTCATAAGTCAGCTTTTAAGCAGAAAAATAACCTGAAACTGCTTCTTCTGCAACTTTTGTATGCTGTTTCACCAGGTTATCCTTAGTAGTAATCTCTGAATGAGCTGTTGACAGCTTCTCATTCAAATCCTTAATCTGATCTTCCAATGTCTGAACTTGATCCTCCAAACTATTGAGATGTGAATATGATTCCACAGATATTTGAACATAGTTTGGTTTTTTGTAATTATCCTGTTAAAAGATTCACAAAGCAATATAAATTAAATGTAGCTAACATACAACATGCTGGATATCTAGCATAAGAAATAGAATACAATAACAGAATAGGAATCCCTGGCTGAAATAATACACTATGGTATAGAAAAACAAATAAAAAAGGAACAATAGAGAGAAAAAGATAGGTTCAAAAACAATTCTTAACACATGACTGCTCACCCTCCACTCATTTCCTTTGTTCTAGAGGAAAACTATTATATAACAGGTGTATAGTTTACCTGATTGCCTTGAGATTCAGCAGAAGCCAAAGTAGCAGCCAAAGAGTCTGCTGCAGCGGCAGCTGCTGCTGCTGCCCTTTCAGCCTTGTCAGATGACTTCTTCTTCCAAGGCCAACGACGGTCCATTGCTTAAGTCTCCTTCACCTTGGGACAAAATGATCAAAAATTGGTCAAGAAAGATATGCACAAACGTAAATTTAATGTCAGCTTATATCAGATGCAAATAAGTGACTTTTTAATGTGGGCTCATATAGTCATATCAGATGCAACATATCACAGACATGATTGACAAAAGAAACCCATGAATGATTGGCTGAATGGCAAAGCAACAAGAAAAAGAAAATAATTAAATGCAGAATCCCGAAGCATAATTTACCATCTACTGTGAAAATCTCACAGATATTATAAAACAAAGCAAAGACTACTCATCATTCATGACCGCATGCTTCTCAGAGGTTAGGCTTGTACATAGAGATAACATGACTAAGGGCATATCACACTTAGCAAAGGGGTTACACATACACTCCCTTCATTGACAGTAACACAATCCAAGAATGAAATTTCAATGTCTTTAATTAAAGCACATTCTAAGAAACAATCAGGCAGCAGGAAAATTGCTTCACACTGTCAGTCACTCTAGAAAAATTATATACGTAGAGCAAACAAAGCGTAAGCCTCACAAAGAATACTGTGGAAATACCAAGTAACTAAGTAAGGTTCATTCATTGCCTTATCTGAGAACAATAATAAGGATAAGAGAAATTAACTAAAAAACAAAAATGATAAGATAGGCACAGTAATTTTAAAACTAATCACATTAGGTAACACTTCTTTCACACAGTAACAGTCTAACAGAAGCCAAGAAACTTTTTCTCATCTTCAAAGTGAAAACAGTCAATAACAGTATGTTTTCTTGCACTTTACATCAAGATCATCAAGAATCAAGAGCTCAAAATTGCAGCATGTTTGACCAGATTCCTATGCGTTATAACGCAAAACATTTTTTCATTGATTCATGACAGCTACAAAGATCTAATCGCAGAGCTCTTCCTAGGCGAGGATCTTAAATCAGATTTTATATCGGTAATGGAGGAGAGATATCTACAAAAATTAAACATATCCAAAACAAATAAAACAGCATAAAGAAAAGATATATTTCACATTCATTCTGAAAATTAGAAGAATCAGTAACTTTCCTTTAAAAAAAAACACGATTCGAATCAATAGATGATCCTATTAAGAACAATCAAATGAGCAGAAGTGTGGTTACTTAGGGGAAAAATTATTTAGGGAAAACAAATCATTGGAACCGAGGAGATTTCGCCGGAGCAAAGCTGAAAAACTAAAATGAAGGGCTAGGCCACGAAGGTAACAGAACTAGGAAATCCAGGAGAGAACCACAACAGAAAGCTTGAATAGGAAGAGATTCTCAACAGAGACAGCACCGACAGAAAGACATTAAAAAAACAATCTCGAATTTGACAAAAGGAAAATACTCAGTCCATGGAAAACAAAGCAAGACTCATCGAAAAGGAGAACCAAGCAAAGCGTGAACGGAAACGGTCATTCATTTCCGTCTTTCACTCTGCCTACTATCCCAAACAGCATTCACATTTTCAAAACAGCTAAAACAGGACAAACAGGACGATCTCCGGAGACACATTTAACAAAAATTGGACTTACAGAGAGAAATGCAGCTTCAACCGGAGAATATCTGCCGAGTTTGAACGTAAATAAGGCGCCGTCGGAGATTAGAACTCAGAGATCTGAGGTTGTGATTGATTTCTCAGTACTTTTGCAGTATTCGTTGTGTTTGAGATGATATTAAGAGTGAGAGAAACGGTGGAACCCGGCAACGATGGTGGAGGAGGATTTGCAGGAGGAGGAGCGGGTGCTGGTGGTGCAGTTGGGTGGGGTGAAATAGAAATATTCTGGACTGAGGTGGGGCGTCACTTAAAAAGGCAAGGGGTCGCAAAAGCTCCAAAACAGCGATATTTTAAATATTTTAGGAAATTTCAAAAAATGCAAGCAGAAGTTGAAAATCGTGGTATTTTGTTTTTCGAGACGAAAATAGTTTTAGACCGAAATGATTGTGGTTTGACGGATTTGCCCCTAAGGAATCAGGACTTTGGCGTGGCAGTCTTGTGGGCGAAGCAACAGGGAGGGCGAGATGAGCTGGACGCGGATATTGCGAAAAAAAAGGTTTATTTAAAAAAAGCTTGTTCTTCTGCTTCTCTTTCTGTTGTGTACGCTACGACTTCGGGCATCGGACCACCGTCACTTCTTGCTCCAGCTCAGAAGTCGAATTAAGAGCATATTTTGTAAAATTTAAAAGAGTTTCAATTTTTTT